TGTGTGTGTGTGTGTGTGTGTGTGTGTGTGTGTGTGTGTGTAGTATATATATATATATATATATATATATATATAGACGTTGGTATTCTTGCCATTTGTGCTCGGTATGGCTCATCGTTGCTGAGTCCATACAGCTGCAATTGTTTCCTGCTGCATATTGCAATCTGTATTGGAGTCACAAGCGCATTCTCACATTGGAGTTGTGTATTGCCTAGGCATATACTTTGACCTTATGCATAACAGCCAACGCTATAATTGTTTACGCAGATGCTCGAGATGTGCCAGTGACAACAACGCTGCTGACACGACTGACAGGTATCTCTTTTATTCAACTGCACCGTGTGGCTTTCATTCATGGACAGCACAATCCCAAAGAGTCATAGAAATGTTGTTCATAGACATGGAAGAGGTCTGTGTTTGCAGATATCCAAGACCTCTCATAGAGCTCAGTGGTGTTTTGGGAGTAGTACATTGTTCTACTCTTAAGAGCACTTGTCTGCGAGTACTGCTGATAGCTGCCTACGTGTACGCTGTGTGCTTGAACAATTCGCTTCCAGTATGTGTAGCTATTAGAAACCAACTGTGCCTGAAAACTGCACTGTCGATCTACCACCAGGGGTTTAATCCCATAAAACTCTAATCCTGTTCGGCAGGCGTCGCAAAGTCGCCACTCTATGAGACGTTTAGCTCAGTATGAGAGAGCACTACACTTCTAATATACATGTTGGCTGGGTCTATATGTAACTATGTATCCATAGCGAAGGGCGGGTCGATATTCTTCTTAATATGTAGTAGATATGTATGTAGCTATATAGCCATTACAACATAGAGATCGATAATTTCATGATATGTAATAGGTCTATATTATGTATGTAGCTATATAGCCATTACAACATAGAGATCGATATTTTCATAATATGTAATAGGTCTATATTTAGCTATATAACCATAGCAACATATAGGTCGATTTGTTTCAGAATACGTAATAAGTCTGCATGTAGCTATGTATCCATAGCAACATATGGGTCGATAAGTTTTATAATGCGAAATAGGTCTGAATGTAGTTATTTGACCATAGCAACATACAGATCGATAGGTTTCATAATATGTAATAGATCTACATGTAGCTATGCATTCATAGCAACATATAGGTCGTTAGGTTTCATAATATGCAAAGGTCTGAATGTAGTTATTTAACCTTAGCAACATACAGGTCGAAATGTTTCGAATATGCAATAGGACTGTATGTAACTCAGTGGCTGTCATGTATATTCAATTATCTGTCGATTAATTAAAGTTCAAATCAGGGGGCGCACGACGTACCAGACACGCCAGAGCTGACGGGCATCTGGAAACAAGCAGATAAGCAAACGGCTAAGGGGAGTGACATACCATGGTCTACGAAGACTTGGGAGATTATGAGCATCATCCAGACGACACCGCCTGATGAGAAGATTGTGGTGTTCTGCCTATTCACCATGTTCTTCAAGAAGGTCTTGATTCCGATTTTGGAGGACAAAAACATCGGGTTCCAAACGTACATCGGTAGCATGACCGCGGATCGTAAGTGTGTCAAGAGGTTTAGGATCAGAAGGGGATTACGAAATGCCCTCTATCCCAAACAAAGTCCCGCGTTGTGTTATGCCGATTGGCCCATGATGGACAGATGGAAGATGTGTTCATCTTATCTCACATCACTTATGACTTGTGACTTATGGCTTAAGAATTGAGACTTGTGGCTTCTGGCTTATGACTTGTGGCTTCTGACTTGGCTTTTGGTTTATGGCTTATGACATGTGACTTATGGCTTATGACTTATGACTTGTGACTTGTGACTCATGACTCATGGCTTATAGCTTATGGCTTGTGGCTTGTGACTTGTGACTTATGACTTGTGAGGTATGGCTTATGACTTATGGCTTGTCGCTTATGGCTTATGACATGGCTTGTGACTTATGACTTGTGACATATGACGTAGGGCTTATAGCTTACGACTTATGACATATGACTTGTGAGTTATGGCTTATGACTTGTGGCTTGTGACTTGTGGCTTATGGCTTATGACATGGCTTATGACATGGCTTGTGACTTATGACTTGTGACTTATAACTTATGGCGTATAGCTTATGACATATGACTTGTGACTTATGACTTATAGCTTATGACTGGTGGCTTATGGCTCATGGCTCATGGCTTATGACATGTGACTTATGGCTTATGGCTTAAGGCTTATGACATGGCTTGTGACTTATGACTTATGACTTGTGACTTATAGCTTATAGCTTACGGCCTATGACATTTGACTTTTGACTTGTGACTTATGACTATGGCTTATGACTGGAGGCTTATGGCTCATGGCTCATGGCTTTTGACATATGACTTGTGAATTGTGCCTTATGGCTTGTGCCTTATGGCTTATGCATTATGGCTTATGCCTTATGGCTTGTGACTTATGATTTGTGACTGGTGGCTTATGACATGTGACTTATGGCTTATGACTTATGACTTGCGACTTTATGGCTTATCGCTTATCGCTTATGACTAGTGACTTATGGCTTATAACTTATGACTTGTGACTTGTGATTTATGGCTTAAGGCTTATGACTTATGACATATGACTTGTGAGACTTATGACCTATGACTTGTGACTTGTGACATATGACTTATGGATTATGACATGTGACTTATGACATATGGCTTGTGACTTGTGACTTATGGCTTATGACTTATGACTTGTGGCTTTTTGCTTATTGCTTATTGCTTGTGTCTTGTGACTTGTGACTTGTTACTTGCGATTTATAGCTTAAGGCTTATGGCTTATGACATATGATATTTGATATATGACATATGACAAATGACATAAGCAGTATAGGCCGAGTAGAAGCGTTGTGCAAGTGTGTGTCTGGGCTCAGTGTAATATCGATTGACTGTGGTTTTTGAGCTTTTGTGCTCATAGGTTACATAACATGACAATTGAGTGAGTACACACTTCCACACCTCAGACACGATCTACAGAAAGCCACAGAAGTCGTTCCCTTCTTTGCTCATACTAGAAAAGAGTGATGAGAGGTCGATGTGACTACGAAATGACTTCTCCAACAGATTTGTGCCAAATTACCACGAATTTATTTGTACTTTTATGACCAAATTACCACTAATCTATTTGTAGTCTTCTATGTCCGTACAACCACATATATAGTTGTACTTTTATGAAAAATTTACCACTAATCTAGTCGCAGCCTTCTATGTTCAAACTGCCACTAATCTCCTTCACGTGTTGAACCAAACACCACAGAGCGGACTGCCGCATTGAAGGAATTTCGAGACGCTGAAGGCATTAAAGTTATTCTGATGTCCACAACAGCGGCTAATGTAGGCCTAAACCTGCAGTACGCCTGTAAGGCTATCATTGTTGACCCGTGGTGGAACCCAGGTGAGTGCACCCAGGGCAGCAGCGCAGAATGTCCCGTTGTTTTAGGTTTTTCGGACTTTCTTTGGATTTGGTGTGTGTGGCTTGAGTAGGTTCTGGGCCAGGGATGGGTCCCGTGAGTGTCCGAATAACGGCAACTATGCCATGAAGCAATACGTTCAACTGCTGCAGGTCTGCATAGACCTGATTGTACCTATGGACTATGCTGCTTTTAGGGTTTAAACCATGAACCCTAACTGAAACTTGTTGCTGAGATGGGCATACTATTCAACGCCCTCGTGGTCTGTGGTATCTATTGTGCAGCGATGGAAATGCAGGCGGAAAATCGTTTGTGGCGACTCAAACAGGAAAAGACTGTGACCGTGTATCAGCTGCTCATAGCGCAAAGCGTCGAACAAGTGGTCCAAACGACCAAAGATCTGGTATGTGTAGTTGTCAGGAGTTGTATTTGTGTGAGGGTTGGTTGTATTTGTATAGGAGACTGCATGAATTTATCGGATTCGTATATTTCTTTAAAAGCTTGGTATTGTCAGGTTGGATCAACAAGAGTTTCAGGGTTTACGAACTTATTCCGAACTGAAGGCCAGGAAATGAGTAAACGTAGCACAGTGACGAGTTGCCGTTCACTAAATCAGTTTCTATCTAGAAAGTATCAATAGCACATTCAAAGCTATATGTGGTACTACGCCTGTGATATACAAGTATACCTTAAGTTGAGACTAGCATTCCTTTGTACCACCATACACGAAGAAGTGTCTGTACGCATCTTAACGGGCATGTACTCCTTCTCCATACAGAAAATCGGGTACATCGATATGGCCTTTAGTGATAATATTGAGAGTGTTTCGGCGTGTCATTTTGGTGTCAGAGAAGCGGCAGATAGTATTCTAGGCAGCACGCTTGCGCCACGATCACGTGCAGATGACACTGATCGCTCACAATCAAGTGCAGTCCGTCCTGGTCCCGGAATACGATCACAGCCCATTCCGGTATGTCGGAACGCCAAGGATTTAATTCAAGTGCATGCTGGGTGTTAAAGTGCTCAGAATTATATGTTTATATATATATATATATAAGTGTATATATATATGTATGTATGTATGTATGTATGCAGTATGTATGTATATATGTGTATGTGTTTGTATATATATATATATATATATATATATGTGTGTGTGTGTGTGTGTGTGTGTGTGTGTGTGTGTATGTATATATATATAGTAAGTAGTGTGTGTGTG